ATTGACAGTGATTTCTGAGTTAAATAGCTTTTTTTGCACACCCTACTTAAGTCGAAAGAAGTAGCATAAAATGAATTTTGTAAGTGAAGTTACAGGCTGTAGGGTAAATACAGAATAACCAATGATTATTTTAATGTATTCAAATAATGCAGCAAGTGACTTTGAGCAGTGCCTGAGAGGGGTGTTAGTGAAGGACTGACCGCTAATATTGCAAACGTATTCTAATGTTGTTTAACGAAAAATCTACGTGAAACCTATATTTATCAAGAATAGCCAACTAAGATGTCCTAAATCAGGAGCCATAATAAAGCTCTAAACTGTTGGCTAAATAATGAGGTTGAAGAAATTAGGAATAAATAATAGGGAAGTGTTGGTTCGGAGAAACTCATCTGGAGCCATCGCGGTATAAATCTAATAGTTTTTCTGAGTAAGAGCAACCTGGCATTTGATAGAGTTTAAGTGAAAGGAATTATCTCACGGGCGAATAAGATCACAGGTGGCAGCTGCTGCACTGGTTTATCTCAAGATGTGCAGCTTCAAAGTGTTAGGATTCATTGAATGCACGACACTAGTCGAGGCCTAATGGGTCTGAATAAGGAAGTTCAGATGTAAAAAGCTGCAAAAACTATGCCAAGTCAAGAATAAGAAACGGTTTTTGCGTTTGGACACAATATCCGAATAATTCATCAAATGGAAAACATTACTGGAAGAATTTAGGGTGTGAGTGTGAGTGCGGGCACAAAATCCCTTTACATCCACACCCACACCCAAAGCCACACCTACATCCACACTCGCCCATACTAACATCTACGCCCACACCCACACTCATATCCACATTCACACCTTCTAGTTTCCCTTTTTGCAAATGACTTTTTCTCAAAAGAGTTGGCTTTTCCTTAGACAATAATTCAGAGAGAAAAGTATGATTTTTTCATACAAATAACTATTTGAGTTTTTGAGAAATTGACTTCAGATTTGGATTCTCCGACCTCGATTTGCTTTCGTCAACCTTTATAAAATATCCTTATTTTCTCGAAAAACCCTTCCCTTGACCCAAAAAAATGAAAAAAATCTAATTGGTGGGAAGCGCCGTATCAAAAACTTCTTTAAGGCGATGTTTTTTTTGAGCTTTGATCCGACGACAAGCAAACAAACTATTTTTATATGACCCTCCCTTCAATTGACGGAACTTTTATTTACTAGTAAATATATTTACTTTACTTCAGTAAATAGTAAATACTTTATTTACTTTACTTTACTGAATAGTAAATACTTTATTTACTTTACTTTAGTAAATAGTAAATACTTTATTTACTTTACTTCAGTAAATAGTAAATATTTTATTTACTTTACTTTGGTAAATAGTAAATACTTTATTTACTTTACTTTGGTAAATAGTAAATACTTTATTTACTTTACTTTAGTAAATAGTAAATAAAATATTTACTTTACTTATTTACTTTTTCAAAAAGTAAAGTAAATATCCCACCCCTAAGTTCAGATTGATGATTTCGTTCGAAATGAATTCAATGGAGATCTCGATGAAGCAATGGAAAATAAACTTAGTGGTGGACAAAAGACACGATTGTTATTGGCACGTGCTTTGTATCGTGGTCATCATTGCCATGCTTCTCTACTTATTCTTGATGAACCTGATCAAGGTTTACCTGCTGAGACAACAGTGAGCATTATTGACAATATTATGAAATGACATAGATCCAAGGATATTCTTATTCTAACATTACATACTGAACGAGCACATTTACTCAATTTTGATCAAGTTCTACATATTGAAGAAGGAACTATAACAAAGATCAAATAACATTGATTAATCATGTAGAAAATCGTCTCTTGAGCTGTTATACTTCGCTTGAGTTCTACTCTTATAGAATATGTTATTTATATATTTCAATTTGTGGTTATTGTTTCTTACTTTTTCTAATGATTTTTTTTCTGGTTAACTTAAATTTATAGTGTGCAGTAACTGGAAAATTGTATTCTAGAGCTATTTACATTGGTTCGCATGATTTCTATATTTGTGTAATCATTTTAACTATAAAAAAGACAAAATTTGTTTCCTTTTGCATGAAAAATTTTTTAAAAGTGTAACGACCGTCATCGTTTCCTCTAAATTCACCGTTGGTCTTCTTGCAGGTTAAGCGTAAATATTTCAAGAATCTATCTTGACGAGACGTTTGAAATTTTAAAATACGATGTATTTGCAATGCATCGAAGTGAGCTCGAACATGGCGACGTGAATCATCTTCGTTGTTGAAGTTAAAATTGCTCGACAAAATCAAGTGATCATTCTTCAATAAGTCACTAGTTGGTTGCTCTTTGAAAGAATATCGTTTTTCAGTATATTCTTTGCATAGGCGATCCAACGATCTTAGCTGCAACTCTGTAAACAATAGATAAACAAAAAGGAAGTAATACGAAAGTTTCTTTACCTCATAATTTCACTTCTGATAACAAAATCAGTCTTGACAAAGTATCATAGAAAAAGACTATTACATGTACCTCACACTGGACATTGTTTTAGTTATTATTGTTTACGAAGTGAATCTATCTATTGTAGATACAGATAGTAGAAGACAATAATCTTTTTTCGTGACGAAGAATGACGAATAATACAAAAAAGAAAATGTAAAAAAAATCTGTCGAAGAAATCTACGAACAGGCGGTTGTTATCTTCGGTTTTGTACTTCATTTTGACAAACTTTTCAGTAGAATATTTTACTTGAATTGAGAAAAGAGCTTCACTACTAGTTCGAATGCCATTATCAAACGTACTTATTCAGAAGAAATAGTCATGTTCCAATGATTACATCTCTATAACGTTTATACTATCTATTTGTCTGCTATAGTTCTATTTCTTTTTCTTTTGAACTAGCATATTTGTCATACAGACATTGATAAAAAATATGCGATGTTGTTCTTGAGAATTAAATTGAATGAACTAACTTAATCAATTTTTACTTGCAAATGATGTTTGTTTTGATAGAATAGGTGTGAATGTGAGTATGGATTTTGATTTCACTCATTCATTCCTATTCATAGTTACATCTACAACTACATTCTTCACGAAAGATCATATCTGAATTATTTTTTCGATTCCTAAAAAAGTTGGATCATGTCGTTTTGTTCAGAATTGAATGTTAATTAAAATCATTAAAATTTTTTTTTTCAAAGTACGACTAAACAAAAAACCATCTTGAACGTTTTTAAGTGCTTTTCATACGTCGCTGGTCGATCTTCTTTCAAGGTATGAACCAACAGACAAATCTGAATCTCAATTGTCTTTTTGAGATAATGTTTTTGAACTCTTTGCTTTTGTTCCTTATAATTATTTGCTTGAAATTACAAACATGTCCATTTCGTGGCCGAAATCAAAATTGTGTTGTAGAAGCACAATGACATGTATAACCACTGGTCTGCAACTTTCTTATGATAGTAAATGATTGTAGCATACACTCATATGCAAACAATTGTCGTTAGTACGTACCAACAAGTCAATGTTTACATGTCTATTCATGTATCAGAACGTCTGATAACATTGTACATTGACAAAGTGTATCTAAATCATTCAAAGTTGTATTCGAACATTCGTAATGATGACAGCTCGAATTATTAAATCTTAGTCTCCACTGTTGATGATATTTATTACTTATACTAACCTATTGATCGCATTTATGTATATATGTTATATTTGAAAAAGACGTACTTCTGCAAATTTGATTTTGTACGATAAGTTCATGGATAGAGATAATTTTTACTAACGACTTCATTCAACTATTTTTACACAAACTATCATGAATATCTTCCATTCAATTGAGAATATGAACCATTGACTATGATATATAATAAATATAGCTTACATACAAAATTCCAACTAAATAAAACAGTAAAGATTCTACATGCATTTGTCGAATGCTTAGTTATTTAGCTACTAGTTACAGTTATTATAGGAATCTTGAATTATCCTGTAAAACATATGAATAAACTTTTATCGAGTAACAAAAATATTTTCCGGAAAGACATCCGGATATCGGTGTCATTTTGCAAATTAAAAGCTACGAACGAGCTATTAAATGCTCTATCAAGATGCTCTGAATACACTCGCACGATTTATACATGCGAATCTTTTTGAAATGAACTTGATCAAAACAGAAAATTAAAAGTCTGGAACAAGAACAATATTCTTCACTATTGATGATGTAATAAAAACTTTTTTGTTTGTTTATCAATAAATAATCAAGTTTATTCATCATAATAATAATTTGAACACTGTAAAAACTGAGTTGTTTTTCCGGAGATATAAGCAGTGAATAACAAGTATACTTAGAGAACATAACAATATTTAACACTTTTCGTTGTCACTATAGATTTTATCGTGGGTATGTCTCACTGTATTATCACTTGAATGTAAACTTTTTGTTAAATTTAATCTTTCAAGTCGACAACAACAAAAACTCATCCCATCAACAATTCCATTCTTCTATCATTCCCATTAAGCAAATATACGATGAAAGATTTGATCATGAGTATGAAGGTGTTCACGAATACTGCATATTCTTCTCGACACTACAAATTTTGATTCAACCATTGAGAAAGTAGAACATTATTTAGTCAATAAAAGTTTTAATATCAATCAAAATATATAATTATTTATTTATTAAACAATATAAGGCTCGTCGTAAAGAACTGAAAAATGAATAACTGGAATGTAACTAACTGACAAAATAATAATAAAAATGACTAGAATTTATATTATCATGTAAAATGACTTTTTTTTTTATTGATCATTATTGTTATATTCTTTTGGTCGATTAAAAAGAAGACATCGATTGGAAAGAACACAATCAATTTTAGTAAATTCACTATTCAATAATTCACTATGAGATACTGTTGGACCAAGTCGACTAGTTAAACTCTAATAGAATAATTATATTATTATATAGAAATAAAATAGAACAAAATAAAATAATTACTCGAATACTTTATTCATATCGATGATCAGCAGGTAAATGAAGAACAGTTTCATTAATCCATAAACAATTAGCTGCAGCATCATCACGTAATGTTATTGTTTTATATAATTTATATTCACTCATTTCTTCCATTTGCTAAAGATAAATAAGAATTTAAATACATTTTTTATTCTTCACAGCAAAAATAAAAATATTCTTACTCGAAGAAGATCTTTAGCTATATCGGATCCACCAATAGCCATTGTATCCATTCCAACCATTGAAACAAAATTTTTCAAATGTGCACCTTTCTTTACCTAATTCGTTTATATAAAAATTTAAGTAATATTCAAAAAAAAAACAAATAATTATAATAATACTCGAAGTAAGGTTACTGGATATTCAGGAAATGCAGATGCAACTGCTTTAGCTCCAGCTAAATTTGTAGTCTTTGATAAACCAACAAAAAATTCACGACCTAAATAATCAAAAGAAATTTCTAATCAATTTGAATTTCAAAAAAAAAAATTACCAGTGAAAAGAACATCGCCTCCATCAATAGTTGCTAATGGATCTTTAATGTCAACTATACAAAGACCTTCTCGTCTAAGTATTGTTCGAATAATATCAACCTAATATTAGAAATTTAATCTTTGAAAATTTCATTATAAATATTACTTCTTTAAGTCGTCCAGGTAAACCAGGTCGATATATAAGTGCAATACCATCGCAAATAACAGCTGTATCTTCAACAAAAACTCCTTCAGGTAATGTTTCATCAGCAGGTAACTCAATTACATCCAAACCAAGTTTTCTAAATAAATAAATTGAAGAATAACAACAGTTTTACTTCTATAACAAGTGCACAAATCTACTATTATATGTAAGTAATCTGTTATTGAAAAATTATCTAAATATTTGTCAACATCGAGAATCTGAATGAAGTATTTTGAGATACTCTGAATTAATTCAGATCTTTAGATATAAAGGATCTGATCCATTGTTCTGCATTCTGAAAATATTTTAAAATGAAAATACCTCAACAACAATCTTGATGCCAATTCATTAAAATCTCGTTCCTTTGGTGAACGAAAATTTTTCGAAATATCCGAATTCATGATGACCTTCTTCAAAAAGAACAGATAATGAAGTTTAGATATTTCAACAATATTTTTCAATAAAAATCAATGGTATTCAGGATGGATTTATTTTCTCATTATTTTATTTTAATTCAAACAAATGGAAATATTACTTATTTCATGTCGCACATTTGTTCGCATTATCGACGAAAGCACTTACGGCTTTCGATTTCATCTATAAATAATGGGGAATTATTTTAAGGTCAGTAAAATACATGAAATGGTCAGTAAGTGAGATAATTATAAAATCAGTCACTTTAATGATTGATCAGTAAAATAAATGATTGATCAGTAAATTATTTAAACGGTCGGTTATTAAATAATTAGGTTTGTAAATACATTTAAAAATCAGTAAATATAATTTATTAACAGTCGATTATATTAAAGGATCAGTATAAAAATTAAAATGGGTATAGAGTGAATCACTTTTTTCCTTTTCTTCTTTGTCTTCAGCTATTCTACAGGATGATTGAAAAGTAACTGCCTATTTTAAATTCTTTATTACTCTCAAACAACATAAGATATCGTCCTAATTTTTTCACCATTGTGAAGCATAGACTACGGCATTTTGTTCTAGATGAAACAAATCGACTGATCGTTTGGTTGTCTAAGATCAAACCCAAATTTTGTCTTGACAACATATGGGAAAAAATAATTATTTTTAGTAGTTGATTATTCTTGTGGTAGAATCAGAGTGTGGATGTGAGTGTGCGTATAGGTGTGGGATGTGCATGTGGGTGTGTATGTGAAGTGGTGATTTGTGTTTGGACAATGCAAAAATGTTCACCCAAATCAACACACTAACATCCTGCTTCTAGTATACGAATAATAAACTACCAAAAATAATGAGTTTTTTCCATATGTTGTCAAGACAAAATTTGGGTTTGATCTTAGACAGCCAAATGATCAATCGATTTGTTTCATCCAGAACGAAATGCCATAGACCATACTTCACAATGGTGAAAAAATCAGGACGATATCTTTTGTCGTTTGAGAGTAACAAAGAATTTAAGATAGGGAGTTACTTTTCAATTACCCTGTAAATGTATTCTGGTTCTTTTGACCTATTCTTTTAATCTGTTTCTTTTAACCTACACATTTTGTGAATAAGAGGAGTCATTGTTTTAATTCTTCTTATTGTGCATTGTCTAAAACAAAGGAAAAGAAGCGTCTCGACTTCTTCTCTCGTCACTGTTTTTATCTATCCTATATATAGAGTGGATGTGGGTGTGGATGTGTATAAACTCTTTCCCGATACCCGCACCCACACTCAACGCGACAGCCACAGCTACACTCACCGACACATAAACATCCCACACGCACATACCCTACACCCACACCCACCCACACCCTATTCGTTTGAAATATTGAAAACCATCGTCAGCGGCAAAAACAGTTCCAATCGGTGAGAAAAGAAAAAGAGGTAGACCAGCAAAGGCTAAATCTTCTTTATTGATACAATAATTTGATTTTCTTTTTTTTTCAATTGCTGTTAAAATTTCTCCTAATTATGTGATTCTTTGATTTTTTTAAATTTATTTTCTACTGATAAAACTTATCTTTCTACTGATAAATTTTGTATTTTTCACTGACCAAATTTGTATTTCTTACTGATATAAGATGGAATTTTTTACTGCTACTTTATTTAATAAACTGACCATTTTACAATTAATTACTGCCAATTTCAATACTGACCATTTCATATTTATACTGATCATTTACATATTTTTTTACTGACCATTTCATCTATTATACTGACCACTTAAATGGTAGCCATAAATAATTGTAGAGACTGTTATCTATCAAAATTCGAATTATTTATTCAAAAAAAAAAATTCAAATTAATCAAGAAGAAAACAATTGCAGAATATATTTTACTAATAAAAATTGATCTCATAACTACGAAATATGTATGATATTCTTTAAAAATTTAGATTTCTTTAACAAAATCTCGTATGAAAATTAGGGATAATAGAAAAGCAATCATCCATAGTAAATTTGATTCACTATGGCGTTTCTGTCGTTCGAACGCATTGCATCGGGAGAGATCGACGTTGGTTTATTTCATGGAATCATATGAACGACAGAAACGCAATAGTGAATCAAATTTATTATGGATGATTGCTTTTCTACTCTATCTCTAATTTTCATACGAGATTGTGTTATTTTAACTTGATCATTATAAAGGAAAGATTTTTGAAGAATATCATACATATTTTGATTAGTAAAATATAAGCATATCTTCGTTTGTTTGAATAAAGATAATACTAGAAGATAATAAATCTATTCTTAAATGCAATTGATTTTTATTGAAAAAATATAAAACATTATCTAAATGTCATTGTCTGTTCAGATTACCATGAGTTCTAATAGATCTTAATAAATTGACATTAAGATAGTTATATACTGCTGAAGTACTTTCATTTTACAATGTTTCCAGAGTACGGAAAACTTGGTGATTTTTTATCAGATCCTTTCAATATAATATATAACCAAAGTTATAGTTCATTAGATTCGATCTTCATCTATTCAATCTCAGATTGATAAAATGTATTCGTATCTAAATTAAGTTTCTTCTGCATTCATACAAAGTAAATCTTCTAGTATAGAAAATAATCAATGACTTATTTATTCTTCATAAGAAATCCTATTAATATAAAATCCTATTCAATCTACATGCTAATTTACCTTAATACTGAAATATAATCTTGATGTTGTCTTCATGCTTTTTCAATATTAATAACTTCTCGTATTTCACGTTGACATATTGCAGCATCTTTTAAACTTGCTGGTACACGACTAACAATAGCCGATGTAAAATGAAAATCAAATGGATAAGTTAACATTATTATCTTAAAAAAAAAAAAGAGCAAAGAAAAAAAAATATAATATACGAACGTATAGGAATATATATATATATATATTGCACACAAAAGGAAAAAAGGAGGAAACAACAATAATTAAAGATTTACAAGATCAAATTAAAAAAATATATAGAAAGATATAGGAATATGGCATAGAATGTACGTAAATGTTTAATTAGTTTTTGTTCAATTTGTTGAACTAGCTGCTTCTTTTATTGAATTCACCGTTTTTGATAACCATCTAACAGTTGAATTATTATTATTACTGATACCACGAAAACTATTAACTGACGTTGTGTCTGAATCATTTGCTATTGATATTGAATGTCGAAGTTGATGTGCAAGTTCTTGATTGTTACACAATGCTTCAGTAAGAGCTAATTTTTTTTCTGCTAATTCGATTTCAACTTGACGTAAACGATCAGTAATAGATGATGGAACTGATGATATTTTTGGTAAAATATCTTCATTATCATGATTTTGTCTTTCACATTCAGGTGTTGATACTACACTTGATGGTGGAGATGTTGTTCCACGTATTAAATTATTACAGGAATTACAACAAACATTCTGAATAATAGAAAACAAAAAAAAATTCATTTAATTAGATTGAAAATAAGTTTGAGAAGAAATGCAACTTGTGATCTACGCCTTTTCAGTTTAGTTTATTTTCTATGCATGAACTTTTTTTTGTCAAAATATTCTCGAGAAATCTCAAAAAGAAAGAAGTTACATAAGTAATAATCAGCATTCAGCGAATATATATGCAAAAAAAATGATATATTATCAACTTTTTCTATTAGATTGTCCACTCGACGTAAAGAAAAACAAACTTTTTTCTTCAAATTTCCGAAATCAATCTGCTGAGAACTAGTGAGTTTTTAATAAGTGAACATAACAGAATTCAATCATTCTAATAGGACAAGAGAGACATAGATGATTTTGTGAAATAAAATCTAAAAGAATTGTTGAAATATAGAGATAAAAATTTGAACTTTCCCTATAGACTGTGACAGACGTTGTTCATATACGATTATAGACCGTATATAAATAATGTCTCGTTATAAAATAAATGAATTACTTCCTTATTGCATTTGTGAAGGATAACGTAAAACGATGGTGAAGAAATGTGTCCCAGAATAGATAGAATAAAACAATTTCCTTGTGATTAGCGAGAACGGCTACATCGTCTTTCGCATTTTAATCTCGTAGAGATTGTGCTAACAGCTTTCTTTTTTTAGCAATTTTAAATCAAAAAATCTAATCAATTAGTTATTGAAAACGTCTGAGTTTTAAAATTTTCTGCTTTAATTTGAAGTGTTTTCTTAAAATTTAAGACTGTCGACAGAAGCTGGCTGTCAAAAGACGATGCATAGATTTCAAGGACGAAGTTTACCATAATTATTACCAAAAAAAATGATGCTTTCTATTTTTCTGATTTTCTTCAGGTTTTGTTTAGTGAAATTGGCAGAAAATTAAAAAAAAAATTAAATCTTCGTTCTTGGCTTTTTTTATGTAAAAAATTTCAGCTCTTTCTTCCTGGTAATAGAAGGTACTAAAAAATCACGCAAATATGCTGAATCTCTCTCCGCCCCCCCCCCCCCCCCCAGTTGTCGAAAACTCATTGTAAGCCAGGACAAAACCGCTCGAGATGTGATAATCTGGAAACATTTCTGTTCTTTGAGTGATCACATGAACTCTGAGTAGTTCTAAACGAAGTTTGTAAAACAGCAACTTTTAACGATATGTTGTATCAAAGAAACGATTATGTTGGCTTTAAAAAAAAGACATGACTATTGACTAATGTCTATGACAGAGTTAAAGAGTGATGGGTGTAACCTTAATAACTTGACAAAAGCAATAGTTAGCGACCTGGTACCTTCAGAAATCAATAGAGGAGAACTTCGAACGTCTTTTTGTCTGATCTTATATAAAACAAGTTTATTTTAAAACCTATCATAATTTTAAAAAACGCATAAAAATGGTATTCCATTTTGATATTGTCATGTGCTTCTAATAGAGAGATTGGATGATCTATAGTTCAAGACACGATTCAGATGATTGTTTTCTCATACCTCAATATTGAGCAAACGAAATTGTGCATATATTCGGTCAAATTATATAGAATTCTTTTAATTTTTAGCAAATTTTCTTGAAACAAAACACCATTCTCATGCATTTTTTGTGAAACACGATACTAAAGGGAGTGTTGAAGTATATAGATATAGAAATTTGGATCCACTCCTACAGACGACCATCAGACCCATTACAGACTGTGCCAAATGGCTTTTAGGGGCCATCACAGATCATGACAGATGGCCTTCTGACCCATTACAGATGGGCCTCAGCGACCATCATAGACCGTGACTCACAGCGGCTGATAGCCGACTATCAGATGTTACGTATAAGTAACATCTAATTGGAGTATTTCCTTTATAAAATTCTACTCTATAAATTTAGCAATGCTGATGGAATATGCTCAGTATATGTAAAAAAAGATTAGTTTTTAGGGAATTAGTAACAATAGGTATATCGTGTTTCATATTTTAATTCCGCAAGGATTACGCTAATAGCTTTTTTGAATGTTTTGAGAAATTGATAGGCTTCAATATAATTTTGTGTCTTAAATAGTATTAGACAAAAAGACGTCAAGAATTGACCTATTTGAACTTCTGAAAACTATAGGTCACTAACTGTTGCCGTTATCGAGTTATTAAGGTTATACCCATCGATCTTTAATTTTGATATGGATGTTAGTGCCGAACGGGCATACTTAAAAAACGTTATTATTACATATGTATTCTTTTTTCAAATATGAGTAAGCGTTGATCACTAGTTGTATTCGTTCTCGAAACAAGAAAATTCAATTAATATCTACTTGAATTGTTTCAATTTTATTTTAAAATTTTTCTTTTTGTTTATCTAATTGATCATTTAATTGTGAACAAATCTTTAATCAAAAGAAAAAAAAAGAAAGATCATTTAATAATATCTTATTTAATATTTTACTTGTTTATATTCTGTAACAATTTTTTGTGTTTGTTGAAGTTCATCACATGTACGTCGAAAAGCTTCTCGAATCTAAATCAAAAAAAATAATTTACAACAAAAGTGATTTTCAATGTTTTTTTTGTTTTTACATTTTCGAGCTCTTCATTTAATCGAAATGTATGTTGTTCACTTTCTTTTACAATCACTCGAGTAGCTTGTAATTCTCTTGTTAATTTTTCCATTCGATCTTCAGCCTAAATATTTATTTAAATAAAAAATTTGATATATTGAAAAAAAGAAACAAACCTGCTCAAGATTATTCTTGAGTCTAACACGATCATTAACTAATTCAAGCGCAAGCATTTCATTTTCTAATTCAGAACGCATACATGTTTCAGTTAAACGTTTATTATCAGCTTCAAGACGTTGTAATGGTAATTCTCCTTGTTCCTCTTCAGCTCGACGCATAAAATAATCTTTTTCATATCGTTTTAATTTTTTTACATTAGTCTATTGATAGAAAAATCATATTAATTAGATGAATATTATTCATTTTTATTTGTTTTTTTGGAAAAAATATCTTCATTGAAGAAGCTGTTTGAATAAGTTCATCAGTATGATCTTCACATCGATATTTTTTTGGTAAATTAACACGAAAATCACGATCAAATGTTACAAATGCATATTTGCAAAAATCTTTTTGCTTTACCACCTGGATATAATTGTTCATAACCTGCAACAAATGAATCTTTTGAAAATTTACCATTTGGACTAAAATAAAAAAAACTCTATACTAAAAGAAACAAAAAAAAACATGTTTATTTACCAATCACGTAAAATATCAGCATGTCATCCACGAATTTGTTCTTTACTAAAATTTGTATTAGCTTTAAGCATTTGAATACTTTTTCGTGTAAGAATAGTACTAAAACAGACAAAAATGCAATTTGAAATAAAATAAATTACGAAGCAATTAAAAAAAATAGGAAAAAACAACATACTTATCTTCAAGAATCAACAAAACATTCAATTTCAATTTTTCACTTTCATCAACTAAAATAACTGAGGCATTTTTTTATTTTAAAACCATTTTTATCAACAAATATTGTTTTATCTAAATAAATAATTAATTAATTTAGTTTTTTGTGTACTCAAAAAGTGAGTACACTCTAGAATCGGTCAGTGTGTCCGTCCGGCCGTCCGTCCGTTAACACGATAACTTTTGAAAGGAGAGTCCAATCGCGATGAAATTTTCTACACAGTTCAGTCTTAACAATATCTCGGTCGAGTTCGAAGATGAGAAGGATTGGCCGAGCCGTTCCTGAGTTATTGCAAAAATACTCATTTTTCCCTATACCTTCCCTATGGAAAGATCGACCCATTCCCGCTTCCGTAAACAACTTTTCCCATCATAGTCAAATAAAACCCCAACTATTATATACCATTCGATAGAGAATTTCAAGAGCTACAAAATGGTATATAAAACATAAAGAAACAAGAAGGCTAGCTCGCCTATTGCAAAGATAAATAAACGGAAATTGGTTCTGTTTTTTGTCTGCGCTCTAATCGATCCCCAATTCGAGCTCTATCTTCCGATCACAAAGATAATACTTCGAAATTTTCTTGGATGGAGAACTCGAATCTGTAATCCACTTGACTTGAAGCCCCATTGGTTGAGCATTGACCAATAGAAATCAAATTATAGAAAAAAACGAGTTTTTTAGGATAACTCAAGGCGAAATCTTCTCTGTATTCACTCCGAAATCTTATCGTTTGAGCAGTAGCCAATAGAATTCAAGTGTTTATAGAAAGGGTTTACCAGGCTAATTTTTATATCCACACATTGTAAGATGACCGATTTGTCTCATTCACTTTTTGAAGTACACATAACTCTCGGATTTAAATCCGAAGTTTCCGCATTTATTTTTTAAGATATAAAATGAATACAAATGAAGTGAAGTATAATCGATTGATTTGTTATTCCAACTTGATTACTAACTTAACATGTAATTTTACTTTGATAATTAGATCAATTTAATAAAATAGATGAACGATTTTCATCTCAAATATGCTAAAGAGAAGTTTCAATAATACATTTATCGTAGAGAAAGCTTCAGATGATTTTGAAGTCTCATGAAAATGACCAAATTAGATCTGTTTTTTGAGTTTTTAATAAACTTAAATATAAATGAAAATCATCATGAGAAACAAACAAATAGATGAGATAAAGTCGAGTTTTTCTATATGAAGACAAACGTCCAGAATATTCTTTATAATGTATGTAATTGTTCAGGTGGTAAAGGAGTAAAACATTTGTTAAATAATCTTGTGACAATTACAATTCCAAGAATAACATATATAAGGTCAATGGCTAAAATTAGGCCCATTTGTGATAAATAAACAACTACGATACTTAAAATACCAATTAGCACAGACATACAAAAGTATGAGAATGGACCACCCGATACGAGATACATTGATATACAATCATGAATGATTAATACAACAACAACTATTTTTCCATAACGATAGAATTCATGAACACGCCAACAAGTTGGCAAAATATCAGGTGAGTTTATTAAATATGGATATTTTTGAAGTAATTTGCTACAATTATTTTCAATATCTTTCATGATAATGGTAATATTGATTTTTAAATCTAATATATCTTTATTCAAATTCTTCTCTGCATAAATTACCACAGTTGTTAATAATGTTATGACCAACGAACAGGCGAATACGACAAACAAACAATAGAAAAAAAATATTTTTTTCTCATTTTCTGTGGATGTTGGTATATATCCATGAAAAAATCTTCCTAGATATACGAAATAGAAAAAATGAATATTTGTATATTATTTGATTTCAATATAGCTTACGTTTGAGATTTGATTGATTGTTTTCCATTGAAAATAGTTCTACAAAAAAAAAAAATAAGGAAATATTTGGTGCTTTCTTTTTTTCCATACAAACAACAGTATTACTAATTACTTAACCATAACAAAGACAGACGAGCTATTGGTTCCTTGCATCACCAACTGCACATAGAGAAAGTTTTTCTAGATGTTGGTACTGGATGAGTCGATAAGTCGTTTTTACGCACAATCGCAAACTGTACAAAATGTTGGTTGAGATAAGCTACACACTTTCATCTACACACACAAATCGCCATTGCATAAAAAAATACATGCATCCTCTAAAAATATAAAAGAGGGCGTTCCGTATCGAGTATCAAATTTGCATGCGTAGTGCTTATATATATGAGCGTTCGAGAAACAAATAAGTACAAAAATATCACATTATTCTTATTTTAATTTGATATAATTAAAGTCATTTTACGAAAAATAAGATACGATAATGAAATGAATAAAGACCGACTTCTGAAGTATTTTTTTTGTCAAAATATACTACAAATTAATAGTATACAATTTACTGTAAATAAATACAGAAAAACCTGAGAAATGTTATTGTTTCTTTATTTTATTGGATGAGTAAAAAATTGAATAAATTCCGCATGGTGTTTCAAAAGAGTTTTTCAATTAAATAGTTCTATTAAAAATCAATTTATTATCAAAAATATCAGTTTTTATTCATGTAGAAAATTTAAAATTTATTTTACCAAATTTCGCTCAATCTCGGTAATCAAATTACTCAAAACTATTTTTTCATGTGAGAAAGTTTCAGCACAGTGTGTTTGTTTGATTCTTGATCATTTATAGGTCATTAAAGCTAGCCAAAAGTAGCTCGCGGTCAAAAATTACAGGCTTTTCATTCTCTCTATTTCTTTTTGAAAAATCTATGCTATTTATCGTTCTTTTGTCGTATCGTTCTACTTCACATGATTATGTTCAAATAAGTTTATCCATATATTATGTATACGGCTGATCGAAAAACCAGAAATAAATGTTTTGTTGCTGAAAATGTTGATGATGCTCGAGTTATAAATCAAACATAACACTCAGAAAAAAATATAAATCTGAAAATTTATTGTTAATGAGAGGAACAGTCTCACCTGAAAAAAATTGAGCCACAGTTATGTAAGATCTTTAATTTTCAAACGAATATTTCAAGTTTAAATTAGAGGTAAAAAAAATGTACTGTTTGGGTCTGCTATTGAATAGAAGTTTTCGTTTATTAAATGAAAAACTTTGTCTTTCCTTTTTTCTTCGTTCGAATTAAGATTTATAAAATTTGTCTTTGAAAATGCTAGAAACGTATTGCTCTACTTTGTTTTATCCATCATCTCTAACGTTGTTAACCAAGCGACTATATAGAATAAGATAAAATCTCACGTCTCGTCCAAACTGCATGCGATCATACGTAAGGCAATAGTCTTGCCAAAGAAAAAAAAAAACATGATTAATATCAAAGATATAATTGTATTTGAAATTCGTTTTTTCAGCAAACATTTTGATCTGTTGTAAGTCTGAATTGTTATGAATTAGCTAAAAAGCGGAAACTACTTTATTTCAATTGTTTATTTGATCAGAACGCAAACTATTATTTTTGTCTAACAAATAATCATTATAAACTTGATAAAAAAAACTTGCTTGGATCTCATTGACATCTTCTATTCATGAATCTCATGATGCTCTTGTAATCATACTCTCGACTTTTACTTTTTATGGGAATATTATTGCTTATTATGGCATATTCATCCTACATTATTTGTGTAATTATGGATACTGTGAGACATATTTATGAGATCTTCTTCACATATTACTATGTTGAAAAACATACAAAAAAGATAAGTTTTTTTTACAAGTTATTTGATTTGAAGAGAATCGTTTTATATTCTTTTCTTTCAATGGAGAACTAGCTATCAATCTTCTTTTCTTTAGTATTGTTCTTTTTCGCCAAATATTTGTATAGATTCACATGTGGGCACGTGCGTTCAAATAAGAAAATATAAAATATGACGAATACAGCAATAGCTATCATGAAATCAATGTGTAGACTTTTCATATATTCTTTATCAAAACAAAATTATATATCTGCAATTTTTCTGCGAGTAGCTGATTTAAATAAAAAGCACTAGATGAGTAAAGTAGTATGTCCCTATAAATATATTCAATTGAAAATCCATTTTTTTAAATAATAATTATTTTTTTTGTTAAAATATGGAATCAGAGCAATGAATTGAAAGTGTGATTGCTTCAGATAATGAACTTGTATTTCAATTAAAAGAAGCCAAGTTTCATTTTTGTTTGTGTTCAGTTAATAATTTCGATTACCATTCTGCGTTCTAAACTATGTATTGAACCAAGTCCACAATATCTTTTTTACGATACTCTAATATCATACGATAATAATAACGATGTTTAAGAAAAAAAAAGATCTCTAATTGGGATCATTTCGATCAAAACTATCTTTGATCCTATTTAGTGATTACAGTGAAAAGCAAGTCATGAGCACTTATTTGCATAGTGAAATAATTACTTAGAGTTAAGACTAGTACAGCATTTTGGGTATTTGAGTAGACTTCAAATATTTGCTTGAGAACAAAAATATATAAAATAATTCTGATTTAATATTTTCATGGAGTTACTCATCCCCTTCAGAAGAATTTTTTATGCTAATAGCTTTTTTTGTGTACTCAAAAAGTGAGTACACTCTAGAATCGGTCAGTATATCCGGCCGGCCGTTACTCATTAATATCTGGATTTAGTTCTTGTGGTAAGAATTTACAGTTTTCCTCGTATTTTAATTTTTAAGAAATAGCTAAACTTATGACCGCGTTATAAAATTTAAAAAGATTATTTTTTTAATGTGGGCCGCATCGAAAAGCTATAACTCGTTTGAAAAATTGTCAAAACCGCTTCATTCATTGATTAGACAGCTTTGTAAATTACAGAAAATTGTCAAAAAAAAAA